AATTTGCTCAGTTTGCCTTTAGTTGTATATTATTATTAATGATTAATTAATGATACTCATCTATGTGAAGATACTGATCACGTTAATGATTTCTCACAATAATTATCAACTATGACTTAATGATTTAGTGCTACTCAGTCTATAGATTAACGTGTTTTCTTTGTTTTAGTGCCTGTTTGAAGATTAAACAATATTTGATGTGGTACTGCCGCAGTAAATCACTTTTGATACTGAATTTCAACAATTTATAAATACTTACGACTTACTACTTTCTATTTATACATATTTTATCATATATTATAGTGCCTTGCCATTATACATTACTGTTGTATAAAGGCCTGTAGAGCTTGAATCTAAGTGTCGCGTTTGGACTCTAAACCACTTATTATGGACTTTTCTCACACCGCTTTGACTCAGGGATTGTTTTCATCTTCATCATATTTGGATTTAGACTAATCATATGTTGCTAAACTTTAGATTTACTTAATTTTATTGCCCTTTTTTCTAACCAGATAAAAAAAGGTTCAGAGACTGGTACTAACTGTGGGCCAGGACAGACTGCAATATTGTATGTGATGTTTGGTTCAAATAAAGCTGACTTGACATACACAAAATCTTCAGTAACCTAACTAAAGAAAACTACAAGCTTCTGCTGAGCACCTGAAGGCAACATGATGACATGATGAGGAACTGCTGACTGAGTTTTATCCGCACTGACATAATACAGGGTGATATCAACATAAATGTCCACTTGCGTTCAATGACTGCGGAAGTATAATGATACTATAAAATAATTAGAAATAAACAATTATATATATGCAAAATAACAAATTACCAGACTTAGGATGATAGAAATTGTCTTGACCCTGTTCCCCTGAAGGATCTATTATGTATCCAGATGTTGACACAGTAACTGAGGGTGTACCAACCCCATCAACAAGCTATTGTTGTTGAATGAAGAAGTTCTATCTCCAATTTCAATATTTTCCCAATAATTACTAAACTCAAAAATGCAGCAGTCAGTTATTGTTTTAGTTCCTGTAAAGTTGACAAAGGTTTTCATTTGAATACAGCGATTTGTGTTTGAGTTTGTCTTTCAAGGGCTGAACCCACATTACACCCCTGCTTTTTCTCTCTCCAGGGAGGTCAGAGGTCAGCTTTGAAGTGGCAGGGTGACAGTCTCACTCGAGGACCGTCAGGGATGGTTTCCTCCTGCGTGGTTTAGGACAGTCCTATCTTAATGCTGTAGATAGAGTTTAAAGATCCCCTCCAGAATAATCATTTGTATCTAGTATGTTTCCTTTCACAAAAGTTCAATTATCTTGTTAAAATCTTTGATATGACATCTACTCCTCTAGTCCAGAATCTATGTATATAAGTTGAACTATATAAGTATGTATATAAGTGTTTCCTACTTCAGTCTGTTCTCATGCTGCATTCACATGGATTCAGGCAAATGACCGGATATCATGTTAGTGGATGAGAGCAGGACGGTAAACTTGGACCCGACATAAAATACCGGCAACAGTGCTCCATGACGTAATTAATAAATTATACAAAATAACTTTATTTCATTAATGTTTTTGTAAACAACACGACATCAGCATGGCAACGTCACCATCATGCTTGTTTAGTGTTGCCTGACTCCATGTGAATGCAGCTGTATATGTTTCTACATCACACTATTGCAATTTGTAAATTGAACCAGGATTGGTTTCCAAGCTATTTGTGATGTCACAAATCGTGTCTGTAGGCCCCGCCCTTAAAAGCACAGAGAAACTTTCTACTTTGAGCAGATGAATGTGAAAACATCCTTCTGTAGAGTGAAAGCTTAAACATTCAGCTGTAGGATCAATAAGAAAAACACATTTCTGTGCGGAGGAGGTCTTTAAAATGGTCACTTTCACACTGTTTAATGATTTCTATAATCTGCTCGAACACGCTGGATGACGTCGCCTCTCATCACCCTTCAAATGTCCCTTTGCTGATTAGATAAACACCACCTGGGACCAGAGCTGCAGAGAAACTCCGAGCAGGACCTCCCAAGGAGCCTGCAGCTGTGTCGGGAACACTTGTGCCACGCTGCTGGTATCTTCTCCTGAGCCTCATCAGAGGAGCGTTCTCGTCTGTCTGGGTGCGTGGCGGTTATCGGTGCCACTTTGGGGCTAGGTGGCTATTTGACCTTTGAGTGAATGTGATGATGGTGCCAGCGAGTCCACTACGAACCTGATCCCGGTGGCCCTGCATATAGATACAATAGTGAGGGCAGAGAGGGAAAAGAGACTTTGCAGGATTACTGTTGCACCAGAATATCGGACTAATGTAACATGTAATCTGATATTTTCTCATAGTGTGCACATCATGAGGCAGAACAAGAAGCTGCATGATGTGTGTGGGTGTGTTTTGCTTTCCAGTGGTTACCAAGGCTACAGGGATTCAGTCCAGAATACACCAGAGAGCTTCGTACACGTATAAGAATTAATTTTTCATAATTAATCTGGTAGGAAGATCTTAAAGATTCTTAAAACAGATTGACCTTCGAATTTGTTCGAGACTGACAGAGTTTCTGTATGTTGTATCTTGTTTTAAAGGACCAAATACATTTTTTGCTAGTTTTTGACAGTATGTCATTTGGAAAATACATTTATTTGCTTCCTGGCTGAGTGTTAGATGAGAAGATTGATGCCACACACAAACTCTGTATGGTAAATATGAGGCTACAGTCAGCCACTTATCTTAGCATAGAATTAAGACTGGAAATTTAAAAAAAAGTAAAAAGGCTGAGAAATAGTTGGGCACGCAATATTTTAGTACAGATTAAACATATGAAATATTATTATGTTAATTTGTGAACTTCAGAGGTATTAGGTGGATTTTGTTACCTTTAGATGGAGCCAGACAATAAGCTAACCATCTTCGGTCTGTAGCTTTATACTGAACTTTTTTAATATGTATTGTTATTATCTTAATCTTATTATACTTGTATATACTATACTGGATGTATTGCTTCGTCACATTTGTATTGCTAATTATATTTTGGTTATTCTAATAAATTGGCACTTCTGCTCTTTTTAAACTTTGTGAAATGATGGTTGATAATCTGTAGTTCTGTAGTTGAGTCTAATTTATACAGTTTATCCGACCTTTTCACTGCATCCTGTCACATAATGTTACATTATTTATGGAGCAGCTAGTTAATTAACCCCGAGGAGTACAGACATGGTATCTGTACAATAATCCCCATCACTGACCTTTATGTCGGAGGTTTTTGAACATATGATTCTTTCACATTCAGTTTGTTGCCTGTCACACACTGACACTAACCAATGCAACACACCTGCCATCCATCACAGGACTCAGTTTACTGTAACATGATTTTGAACCAGCTGACCCCACCAACCACACAAACACACACAAACACACACACCAACATGTTATGACAAGGAGGAACAGTATTTACATGGGCTGCTCTACATCACCTGGGTGAAGAGGGCAGTCACATGCTGTGTATGTGTGTGTGTGTGTGTGTGTGTGTGTGACTTTTTGTTTCAGATAACAGTAAAACACACTCTGGCTGACATCTCCAGTTTGGGGACAACACAGGTGACATTTTGCTTTATGAAATAGTGCTTAAAAGGTGTTTTTGGTAAGAAATATTGACTGCATGGAGCAAGACTGTGTGTTTAAGCTCCTTTTTAGTATTTTACAAGTCTGTATTTGTAGTTATATCATTGTTCTTGGCTCTCCCTGTATGAATTCATGTGATCCTTTTTGGAAATATAATACAATCATCTCTGTCTGCCCCGGGTTGCGCACATGAACCCTTAAACTATGTTGGTAGGGGCTCTACGCCACTGTTCTGATGGTGTAAAGTGTCTCTACATTTAGTCAGTCACACACACACATGACTGTGCTTGGGGCCCCTGGCTTTGGATGAGAGGGTGTCAGGTTCTGCCTCTCTTTCCTCAATGTGCGTATGAGGGCAGGAAAAGGAAAAGGGCTCCAAGGAGAGAGTGGCGTGAGTTGGGGGTGTGTCTGCAAGGGGTGGGCTTGAATCATTTGATTGAGAGATGTGGAGCGGATATCTTTCCACTGAGCTCTTTGGCAGATCTGTACTTTTCCCGCCCAGTGCAACCCTCCCACAACACACCCCCTAATCTCCGCCTTGAACACACACCGTCACTCACGACAAACTTCCCCTAACCACACCTACACTACTAACTCAGGTGGCACAGCCCAAATTTAGGGCCCACCTGTTGCCTGTAAGCTTTGTTGTGTGCAATAGAGGGGGGGAGGGTTTGTGGAACGGAGTAAGCTATGGTGTGTGACCCCTTTGGCATTTGATCTGAAATAGAAAGGGATTTATGGCTCTTGGGAAGACAGACAATGGCAGCCAGGGCGTCAAAGACGGGCCCCTCTTTGCTGCCCATGAGAAATGTTGAGTCACAGCTGGTGGCATGTTGAACTCTGGCTCGGGTTCGTCTAAGGTCCAACACCTGTGCAACGATGTAACCTCCATTATTTTACCTTCTACAGAAGATGCATCACAGAATTTGTGGGTCAAAAATCTGATTGTTCAATCAAATGCTGCATCTTATGGAGAAAAGAAAAGAGTAAGATGGACCCTTTGTTGCAGCTACACTACAGAGTGTATAATTCTTTTAAAGGCCAGTCTACATTATGTAACACGACACATTAAAGTGGGCCCTAACACCAAATTTGGCCCTCAGCAAACCTCTGGCTGTTGAGCTCCAGACACTGATGAATTATTGTTGATTTAAGGAGGAATCTTAAAATGTAATCACAGCTCTCTCACTTTGCTTCATCTCTTGCGCCACAATAAAAACCAGACCCTCTTGTCTGTAGGAGTAAGTTCTCTGTTGCACAGCGGGGGTCTTCTTTCCTCACACATGCTCTCGGCCTTCAGCCATTAATAGTTAAGGTCAGGGCAGCTTCCTGCTTGCGTCTCGACCTCTGCTGCACGACCTCAAGATCAGCCAGGGGCCCAGTGGGGAGCCCCTCCGCCCCTCTCGCTACAGAGAGAGGCGTGCACGTGGGTGTCACTCTATCCCAGCCGCACGGACACACAACACAAAGTACAAAGAAGCGAGGACACCCTGCAGCACACAACGCACCTGACGGATCACTTTGGGTTTCTCTTTTGGATATAACTTTTACTGTGCGGGTTTATTTGGTGCTGAAGTGCTAACGTTTGAAGTCGGGACTTGTTGTCCTTTTGGGGGAGTTTCACGTGTCTGCATTTGGCACCAGACTCATCTGTCATCGCCTGGCACTGGGTGCCTGGAGCTGCCAAAGTCATGCCGGCCGGGTTTCAGCAACTCGGAGGGGAGGTAATTTTCTTCTTGAGAGATTTACAGAGTTTATAAATGTGGTTGGGCTTATTTGTTTTACTCTCTAATGATTTGATGAATGGTAGGCTGTAGGAAAAGCCGGTATTTTTTGTCTTACTCCGTGCGCATTTCCCTGTGCGTATTTTATTTGGAGAGATTTTACGCACGCGTTTTTCTCCGTCGTACATAAAATCTGTAAGAGAAAATACACGACTTGCTTGACCGAATTGCAGTTTGTCTCATACAATCCAACAACTAAACACAAACTCGTTGATGAAACTCGTTGAATAATTCTGACATTTTAAATGTTATAAAATAAGATTCTTCTCATTTCTGCCATCTCTAAAATATTTCGTGTAGTACATTCGTTGAAAATATGTAAAGCAGTCCTTTACCTAGAGTCTAAAATAATGAAAAAATTAAGAATAATGATAATTAATAATAATGGCCTTTGTGACAACCAGTAACCATATGTGTTAGTTTAGGGAGAGAAATAATCAGCCCTGATCTGAACGAGCTTTGGCCCTTATTTAGTCTTTAGTAGTGACCTTGACCAGCTAAATATCTGAGTTTACAGGTCAGAGCCTCATACTGTGGGTTTTTTTGTAGTTTGACTGGTTCAGTTTCACCACCCTCATAAACAATGTCTGTGTTGTGTGCTCCCTCCAGCTCGTTCTGAGTAATTATTTCTAGGTCAGATGGATGTGTGGATCACTCCTCTGATTCTGGACAGTTTAACTCTGGAAACAAGAGAGAGTGGACTGCTGCTGATGTGTGTGCAGAATGCAGAGGGATGTTCAAGGGATGTGGGAACTTCTATTAGCTCAGACATTTTGGCTTCAATGGAAAATAAATCCCTTAAGCAACTCAAACAAAGCAAAAAGCCAACACACACTATGAGTTCTCTAGTGAGACCCTCTAGTGTATCTTATATTAAAGATTTGTTCAAGATAAGTGAAAAGAAAATGAATTACTGAGCATAACCTTTTAATGAAATGCAGTTGACATTAAGTGTAATAGAGCATAACTGGCAGCTTCTGGCTGCTTCACACACCCTTTTGTTTTGGTCCATGAATACTAAACAGCACTTATCTAGAGACTCAACACAGCAAGGTCAAGACTCAATGTTACAGATGCATGTTAACTACACAAACTGTACAAACTTAAACTACATACAAACCCAGACTTTGACCCATAAAATACAACAGAACAGAATATAATACAACACAAGAGGAAGATATAAAAGAGCAAAAGTAAACATCTTTAAGAAGTTCCATCATTATTTAATGTACATTAGGAAACAACACATAATTTTCAAGTAAAAAAACATGATTCTGTTTAAACTGAGAACAA